CGATTTCATAACGACATCAAAATAATGCTCTCAATACCCCATAGCAACGGAAACAAGGTTGCTGTCGGCATCAGAGTGCGGTATCATCAAAGATGTCGGCTATTAAGACGCTCATGAATATTCATAAAGATGTATATTCGGTTATCTTAAGCTCTCTTGAGTAATATAAAACAATAAGAGGAAAAAAAAATATCAATTCCATCTGGTGCTAATAAATAATTAAAAAAAGTATTAAATCCCAAAATCTTCATAAATTTTTACCATCAAAAAGCAATTATTCAAATAAGAAAAAAAAAATGTTCCAGTTCAAGTACTCCTTGCTAAAATATTGTCCTAAATTTAGAAGTTAACTTTGTGATTAGTATATTACTATTTTTTGTGTATTTGAAAAGTGAATGAAAAAAATAGAAAACTGAAATATGTAATGATTTTTATGAATGATAATGCAAGGGCTTAACTCCTCCCATGTGAAAACATTTACGGTCTTCTTTTTGTCCAATTTTATCCTCAGTGAAATAAACTTCAGTAATAATTGATGGCGAAGGAAACATAGCCACCTGCTCTTGTCCAGATATTAATTCTCTAAATTATACATCTATTTTTCTCCAATATTTTTTTCTTCCTCAAGGATACAAAGTCCATAAATAGACATTTTTGAATGGAAATTCAAGGTAAATATTTGAAAAGGTATAATAAAACAGACATGATGATTGAGAATCGGGATCAATAAAGGCAGAGGTGAGATTTTGGTACAATGGTTAATCATAGTTACTTAGTGTACTGTGATAGCATATAATTAGCATCATTGTTTGGGTAGTGTTACATGGTCAGGTTTTTAAAAATTTGATATCCATAAATTTAATTTTTAATTTGTGAAACAATTCTTAACTGAATTTGTTTCCATAACCATAATATCAATCTAATTTCAATTTTTTTTTTGCATTATTAGGTACAAATTATTTGTGGTGTAAATTTGTCTCATTTACTTTATATAATATGGAATTCTAGCGCAGCTATCTTTTATATTTTTATGAATATTTAAATTTTTGATTAGCGCATATTGCCTCGTTTGTAAAAATCTCCTAGGTGAACGAGTATCCATTCTAAAATATTGGATTGTGATTATTAATATTTATAAGAAATAAATATAAAATTAAATAACTTTTAATATAAATGATGATTGTTTTAATCTGCATTCCTTCCATTAATAGGGGTAGACAACATAAGACTTAATTCACCAGAAAAATAACAGAAAGTCATTATGCTACTAAATCAACTTTCATTATAACAACACCTTACTGATAACTTATAAAAGAACAAATATGCAAGTACATCAATGTGCAATAATGAATTATTGAATACCACAATATACATTATTTAATATTCTATCAATACATTAACTTCAGTTGTCATAAACTTGTCTGAGAATGATTTAAATGCAGTGGACAATTCCCAATCGTGCTAGCATTAAAAAACCCTCAAGCACGGACAGCGGTCAAGATATCTTTGTCCGTAAGAAGCAGACGATTAATCCATAGATGATGGAAGATTTCTGTGGACATTTTGATGTGTACGTGCATGATAAAATTCAAAGCATATTTTCATTGTTTCATCATAATGCAGAAATGTAAGCTGTATTTTTTCATCTACAGATTCTTCATGAAAACATTAAATCTAGGCTACGGAGTGGAAAAAGTAATGTTTTGTACAAATAAATATTTTAAGATGCTGAATTGGTGTCTAAAGGAATAAATGGGAACATCTAATAAAATAAAAATTGTTGAAAATTAAGAAGTTTGGGAAACTGTAGAATTTAATACCAGTTTGCCTTAAGTTTTTAAATTTTCTTAAAACTATGTTTGTAAAAACTGAACCTTTGTTTAATTATATGGACTAGTGGACACTTCGTAGTCTTGGCAATATAAATCTCTAGCTCTGTGGTATTGGATTTGTGGACAGGAATTTTATGTTCACAATAATTTCACATTGAAATAAAATGTAAAAATAACATGAAAAGATAAATATAGGCAGTCATCATTCACTGTCCACTAGGAAAACAGGCTAATTATAGTGGTCGATGATGTCAATGACACTAATGCAAGTCCTTACCTAAAAAATGTGGGCAACTGCTCTAGGAAAGTGGCTCACTAGTCCATTAGCCATGTGAACCACTTTTTTAAAACCATATTTAGAGAGAGTGACCCTTCCAGCATATCATAGAGGGTCGGCTAATATTAAGGGGCCCTCTAAAATAAATGAAATGATGTGATGCTTTTATCAGCGAAAACTCTTTATGATGTTTAGGCAGTAGAATTTGTTTCTGGTCGTGAGAAAAATTCCTTCTGTCACAGGAATTGAACCCAGAACCCTGGTATTAGAAGTCAAGCATCTTCACAACCAAGCTATTCAACTCCACTCGTAATTAACCATTACTTTACTTAAGTATGGTAGTCCAAATTGGCAAGTAACTTTATGTTACATTCTTGCTTGAAAATAACAAATGCCTATGAGGACTGATACTTTGTAAGCATTGTTTCCATCATAGACAAGATTCCTCCTACTCTACTAGCCAATTAGGTCAATAGTAAAATGAACAAGTAACTTATATTAATGTATCACTAACCCCTTGATACTAACATAGTGCATATGCACTGTGTTATGCACTGTTTACCAGATCACTAAATTGTCACTGATAATAAGATATTGATTGAACGGGTAAATAAAGCAATTGGAAACGGCTTTGTTCTGTCTGTCTCAAGTCTGTAGTAATTAAGTCAACACTTATTATATCTAATTAACCACTTTGTTTTCTTTGAGTCCTTTAGGATCGGACATCAAAGTAAGAATTTCTGCATGTCCCTCCTTTGTTGTAACTGATAGGAGCAGTAGGGGGTAGTAAAAGAGAATGGATTAGTGGAAGCAATGGAGATCAAACACATTAAGAGAGGGATTAAAGAAAAGAAACCAAAGAAATGGGATAAAAGGTAGGTAGGCAAAGAAAGATAGATCAAAGAAATAGGGATCAAGAGTAACAATGGGTATTCAAAAAGAGGACACTAAGGAACAGAAGACTGCAGCTTAAAAGATGGACATACCTGTAGTTGCGGTCTGCAGACTAACAGTGTTAGCTCTTCCCCAGGTTCAGCAAATAAAGAGAGGGCATGGTCTTTGTTTAGTAAATCTTCACCATTTATCTGTAAAAGAAAATCCACAAAAAAATTTATAAAAATTTCAGAAAATAACAACACTTTTGATTTTCAGTCCCATATGTTGCCTAAAATGTAATGCATACTATCCAATCATAGTGGACAAAGCGCTGGATGTTTATCTTTATACCAAATTTATGGCATCATAACATATTGCAATACAACTACTTTAAAACATGCATTGCCACTTTTTATGCAACATAAAAAAGTTACATTTAAGTGAATATGACAGGCCCTTTTAAAATTGGTCTAGCACACAGACAAACATTCACAATGGGGTAATAAAATCGTAAGAGACGGTCACGAAATATCGGAACAGAAGGAGATTAATCATAGGGTATGTTTAAACAAAGCAAGAAGCACAAAGACAAATGGTTTCTAATTTCCTTCGTAGATCTCTCATCCCTGCGGCATAATACAGAATGGTCAACAAACAATGTCAACATATCATGTTACACCATAAACTTAAATCATCTACGATTTCTTAATTTTTAGTGCTTACGATTTAGGTTACCTGACCTAGCGTGATTGTGTATGTTTAAAGAGGAATATGCGTAGTTCGACAGTAGTTAATGAGAAACGTGAAGCTACGTGATATGCACATGTTCGTTCGATATAGTTTTTACTTAACACAAAAGCACAAGTCTTAAACATTACATTATATATCACTCCCCATTCTAGACAAATTGGAAATAGCGATCTTATAACATTCAAAGCTACACATAAATTGTAATTCAATGCCTTATTATTAAACAATGTAATCACCATCATTAATATAATTGTCACCAACTTTTATATGGCGTCATATTTATTAATTTATATTTCAACAATAATTAAGGTGGGTAAACTTTCTAGCTCCTGGGAGCTATCATTAGGAGCTATTAATGAATAAATTAACTACTTAATACAAAACCTAGTAATTTTAATTAAATGGAGTTAAATAATATTAAGTTTTAATATTCTATTCCAACAAATAAAAATATTTCAAATCTTCTATAAGTATCAGAGTTTATTTTCTTTCTGTTCAGAAAACATTTATCATTCTAATCATCAATAGAATTACTTGTCAGTCATGTAAAATTAGCTATAGGCAAGAATCTTTTACACAATTATAGTTTAATTGATTTTTTTCCCAGACGGACGTTTTCTTGTTTGCTTCATGTATTGCCATAGGCCAAAACACAACTCTTTGTCAAGCACCCTTAATAGCCACAATTTTGATAAAAAGCAAATCCTTTTAAAAAAGTTATTTTTCTAGCTTTGTTCAAACCAAATATGAATAATTGTATTAAACAAAGCTATGTAGCAAATACTATCTATTCTATAACAGAAGAGTGTAATAGAATCTGTTAATCTGTTCTCTTTTATATTTATGGCACTGCCAATCAAAATCCGATAAAACAATACAACTTCTGTAGCAGGTACATTATGTACAGTGGTAGATCCAAGAATTTGAAATAGAGGGGGGCCCAGGGAGAGAATTCCACAGATGGAGGGTGCAGACCACCCCAGCCACACTATGGGTTGGGATGAGGTAAGAAAAATTTAAGATTTTGTCACCACTGCTTTAATTGTCTATTTTCTTTTCTGTTTAAGGAGACATGTTGCATATACTTGCTGTGAGTTTTTGAGGTGCGACACGGGTGCTAGCCTTTTTATCTAAAAAGAAATGCGCTATATAAATGACGGGAGCGATTATGATGGTGACTGATAGCACCGCCCATATTTGGAAATATTGACATAAATAAATGTTTATAATACCACAACAATCACATTTTGCTGGCAAATTTGTTTTAATCACATCAAAAAGTTATGTTTTAATAAAAACAATAAACTGCATGCATTCATTTAGAGATTCCAAGTCCTTTTTTCAAGAAACAAACGACGACGACGAAGGTAACTGTGTCAGCTTTGATTAAAATATACACTTTGTTTAAGGTATCCTAAACTTTACAAGTTATATAGCAAAAGAATTAATATTGGATTGAATTTCACAGGCACTAATCAAACTTCATTGCCTTTCGAAGGTTTTGCGGGCATTTTCACATCTCTCTCATGTGTTGAAAAACGTTTTCACAGCACAGCTTACCAAAAAAAACAAAACACACAAATATAACACATTAAAGAATTAATCTTATAACTGGGCCTGGGTCATCTATACTGAGAACATAAAAAGAAATTTAAAGAGTCATTTGTGGTGTTCTGAGGATGGTCAGTCTCCCTGGGATGATTGAGTTTCTTTTTTATGTACCTGACATATATTTTTCATTTCAATTTTGATTCAGAAAAAATGGAATTTTCTTAACGGTCAAATTCACAGCTAAAAGAAAATTTATCCTTTTTATAAACTATACTGTTTCTTTCAAATATATTTAAACAACACATTAATTTTGATTTGTACATTCTCCCATAGTAGCTAAGCATATTAGTGAATACCTTGCATACAAGTCACATGAAATACTTTCCTAAGGTTTTTAATACACAGAATATAGTCTGTTTTTTTTTGGCGTAAAAAGTATATTTTCCAACAGAGAAAAAAACAACAATATTCTTATGTATATTGACAGTAGAACCCCTATTGTAGAAGGGGGAGGGGGAGGCACATTCGGGACCAAAAACAGTGTCCATAAATAGGGGTGTCCACTGATAGGGGTTGGCAGTAATGTTAGAAAGATACACTTTTTCTCGTTTTGTGGCCGCAAATGTGTCCCCTTGAAAGGGGTGTCCAAAGAAAGGAGTTTTACTGTATTTTGGAATTAAACTTTTTGTGCTTGAGTAACCCTCTTATTATGTCTACCACCCACACTTTAGGTACAGCCCTGTTTAAACACTCCTAGTTGGATCTACTGTATACAAGTGCATCACAAGGCAAAATTCAAAGATTACGACTGCCTCAAGAACATTGCAATAATTTTAGTTCCTGAGAGACTGACAACTGCAGCTCATCTGTAACTGTTAATCTTGTGACCGCTATAAATAATTTCAAAAATATATTGATGGATTTATAACGGCTTCTCAGGGGTCCGTGCAAATTTTAATCTGCACTGCTGACTTGCGCTGCGATGTTTGATTGACAGGTTAATATTAAAAGCAAACTGATAAAAAAAAGGTTTTTTGCACAAGCGTTTCCCATTTTAATTAAACATATAGTGCTTATTTTGAGCAGATAAATTTGAACAATAATTTAATATTTTAATCTATTAGCTTTTAATTTAAATATTTTCAAAACCAATTAATAATAAACAAAATATACTAATTAGTTTTTCAAATGAACCATTATATTAGTTGACTATAAAGCCAGACAACATTTATTTAATGTTGCTTGAATATTTAATTATAGAGGATAAGCTTATGTTTAAATATTTTTTTATTTGGCGTTTCAGTTTTTCTGTTGGGGGAGGGGAGGGGAGAGAGAGAAAAAAAACTTTGTCAATGGAATATTTAATTTACTAATGTTTGTATTATGTATCAATGATTCAATGATAACAATTTATTCATATATTTAAGAATATTATTCATATCATTTGTTTTATCATGATCAAAATGCTTTCTTTATTTAATACACAAATATTCATATATTAATCTAGCTAATGGATTTCTAAAAGACTTCACCTGTAATATCTGATCCCCAACACGTATGCTGCCTTCCTTCGCTGCTACTCCATTGGAGTCAACCTGAAAGAAATAATTTTAAAATATTAACTGTATGATCTAAGATTCCCATATTTCTTAAGATCTGTCCTGCTAATCATCTTTTCTTTGACGAAAATCTGTTGTATGCATGCCCACATATTGTCATGTGCCTATAGAGTACCTACAGTGTTACGTCACGATACCGTTTGATACTACTCCATCGCTATCGTTGCAAAAAGCATTCAACTGGATGACATTTTCTTCACTGACAAACCATTGAACCCAATTCTAAACATAATTATCAAGATGTTGTATCTTACTTTTTCTTTGAAAATTTGCAACAGAGAGCGCCACCTGGCGTCGTGACGACACGACTGTGGTACTCTATAATATATGGTCATGATGTGATGTCTTCCTGACCTTATTTAGGCATGTCACATGTTTTTATCAAAACATTTGATGGTCAAAGACCAGGACTTTTAGAGAGATAGATACACAACAATTAAATTTCCTTGTCTCATTAATTTTTAAAAAAAGTGTATATGAAGGAGATATATTATTACATTTTTCAATTTAGGGAAAATGAAAGGAAGAAAGGTTTAGTTTTAAGTCTGTCCTACATAAACACCATGCATTTTTGACAGTTGAAACAGAGAGCATGCCCCTTTGAGATTCATCTCTCAAATCCTTTCTTACTACCTATCACAGTTCCTAAACTGCCCTAAAAATATTAAAAATAGAAAATATTGTAGTCAGCCTGAAAATTATGCTCAGCTCTTGACACAAATATTTCCGTATTTGTTTCAATTAAGCAATTACACAGAAAGAAAATCCTATGCTTCCTCTTGCAATTTATCCCTATAGACCAACCAAAATCATTTCACACCTTTTACCATTTATGTTTCCCAATTACACACACATTATGAGTAGTAAGTCTGAGCAGTTAAGGTCAAAAGTACAATGAACTTCTTCATTTGCATATTTCACAAATGGCATAAAGCCAGCAAGAAATAAAACCAACATGAAAGGAGAACTGAGTGAATAAAATAACGCGAATATGATATGTTCATGCACTTATAATTCTCACGCGATTGTTCTATATAAGTAAACGTGAAATGCCTAATCACAAAGTACGAAGATTAAATGAGAAGTATATGAAACAGTTTATGCGTTCATTAGAGGCAGTCAAACAACACTGTTTTTATTAATCTTGGGATTTCTATAGACTGCGTCATTACCAAAGCTGTTAAGGATATTCTAAAGCCAATTAGATTTACATTTACGTAATTAATTTCATTAGCACTGTGCATAAATTACAGCAATGAAACACACAGAAAACAAATATGAAGCTTGAATTACAGTCAATGTTGATACCCACAAAACAAGTTCCAATAGTTTGACGTAATTATCAGGTATATTTAAAACCAGACTCCATTACTAGTGCACATTTTATATACTTTCCACCATTCAATAATATAGAACTGTCACTCTATATATAGGCATATAGTGTCTGTATCGCAATGGAGTGTTACTAAATTACTGAGAATAGGCATGATTTTGGGTTTTCCATGGCGGCTGTGTTGAACGATTATTCTAGTTCTTGCTGTTAAACAATTACATTTCCATCTATCCAGGGTACGTGTTATATTTCATTTGTTTTAATAGGCTTATGACTTTCAACAACATAATATATTTGCATCAATATTATACAAAACTATCCTGCGAAATCGCTTTAATTGTTGCAGCTTAAGTACACCATGTTATTAATATTTTATCATTTCTATTTCAATTTACTATATAAAATAAGAAATAATAATTGATTTTTGGAAATTAACTTTTAAAATATTCATTACAGAAAAAACTAACATATAATCCTCATTATAAAACATGGTAACTACTATCACCATGTCTACCGGGGTTGCCATGATTACCACATTACTACGTCAACCGTCTTCTCCATCAACAATGTTTCTATTGTGACATTGTCATACAGATTTCAAGAGCTGTGTATTGAACAATGATAAAATGCATGTTAATTTTAGGTACTCAGAATACAGTAATACAACAAGAGCTTTTTCCAGATGTATATCCAGACAGATTCCCATCAAGCAATCAAAATGCTATCAGAGAATTAGGACAAAGTAAAAAAAAAGTAGTTTCTCATCCTAATATTTTGAAAAAAGGAGACGAGGGCACTTCTCCCCATCCCCAACCCTTTTTTTCCCTCCGAGGTGGCAAATCCAAGACATGATTCATACCATATGTATCCCCAACTATGAACGATTGGAAGAGAAATTTTACTGATGTGAGTTAAGCAGGATTTTCGTACATTTCAAAAAATAAAGAAAATTAAAAAGGAATATATTGGTAAGGCAGAGATAATAGATGCATAAGGAAACAAGAAACTAGTAATTGTTTTTATTTGGCCTAACATCTTTATAATTATGGTGATGTATAAGAGTGTCAATGAACAACAAATGCTAGTGTTGCTATTCTAAGGCATTCATCACCGCCATTATAATTGATAGGCCTACTTGAAAATTAATAACATCATTAGTGCTAATGAAATAATCAGAGGTAGCCTGTCATCAGGCTGACAGCTCCGACAGCAACCTGCTACTACACACAGACTAATAGACTACATCTACCTTCACAATTTATTGTTTATCCACTAACCCAAACTGTAAATAGATATATGGTATATTATATATTTCCCTTATTTTGTCATCCAACAGCACGCGACTTACTACTTTACCGGCTATACTGTAGATAAACAATTGTCTATGGATAAACTGTAATACAGCAAAAAAAGTGTTACTAATATGAAAGATTAGGGAATGGAAATATTTGTCAAATACTCTTACTATTTGTATGATGAAACATTTGGTAAAAGGTCTTTACAGAATGCACAAGATTGGCTGTTGCAAGTTCAAATTTTTTGTTTCAATGACTTATAATTTGAAGAACACATGTGGATCTACAATGATATATATATATATATATTATATATACATGGTCCATCAAAAAATGTTCAAAACCCTAAAAATTCATTTAAAATACATTAATGATTGGCAAATAAGATAATGATTTCTAATAATGCATAGATAGAATGTTTCACTATTAAACAACCTTTTACTACAAAAATCCGTTAATTGATTATGAACCAATATATCCTAAATAACATAGTTAAGGTAATTAATGTCTAATGCAGTAACTTTTAAACTTCTTAGCCAGCGACCTTGTGGCCCGACCACCTAAGAAATTTATTTTTATTTAATATTTAATTTTCTCCCAAAATAGTGCAATAAATATATAATAAATAAATGGAGAGTCAATGATTTCAGTAAACTTAATCTTCTATAAAAACATTATTTCATGGCTACTGCTTTGCGAGACTTAAATATTATTGGCGACCCAATTTTGGGTCGTAAAACCCATAGTTCGAGAATCACTCATTTACTGCATTCATTGATTTGTTAAAGAAAATGTCAGCTGAAAGCTTACGAATACTTACATTGAATATTTTCACCCTTGTTTAACTCAACTCAACACAGATGGTATAGTATATTTTCAATGCTTAATGCTGGATAAAAATTAATCGTAACAATATTTACCATTTACTATACCAGTCTATCAGTTGATTGGCTGTTCTAGCATGCTTGTCAGAGGCTCTTAATTGATATTAAGCTATAAATTTGGCTTGCTTCAAGGACAAACAAATTGATTGAGGATATATAAAAAAAAATTGATGGCATTATAAAACAAGCCAATGAGGACATAAATAAACTTAATTTCCCATTCAAGAATGGAGAGCATACCTAGCAGTCTGCTACGAAAAATGAAAGAAAGTCAACTGGCCTATTTATAAGATGTGTAACCAGATTTTATGACAAAACACCAGTGATAAACCATTTTTAATTGCTGTATGCATATTCAGGGGCGGATCCAGAAATGTCCAAAAAGG